AATGTAAGGCGGGGCCTATGATTTGACGCACACCTGCACACTTGCTAGCCTGTTCCACTCTTCGTTTCCGAATGCCAGGAAGGATTCTTGCCTAGCTTCTGAAGGAAGTGACTCGAAAGACTTTTACCAAGCAAGCATCCTCGCGATTGAGAAACGGCCACTGCCCTTGTATTCAGTGGTTTTAACCTGTGCCCCTTGTTGAAGATAAATTATGAGACTCAGTTCCAATGAGAGATAATAAACCTTAACATATCTTTTCAAAGCTGAATGTTTTAACCAATCAAAAACAAGACAACCAAAAACTGCAGACTGTTTCGACAATAATTTGTGTGTGGACACTGTGGTCACTTTTATTTTAATCACATTTCGTGCTTTTATGTTTTTGTCACAACTAAATTATTTTTCTACTAGCTGTTTTTTTAAATAAAAAATAAAAAAACACTGTTTTAGTTGATAAGATTTTTGGAAATGCCAACGTGTTTGTCTTGTTTCATTTGGTCACTGATGCAACTCCTCTTCCTCTGTAGTATTCTCTGTGTAATGATGGTCTGATTGAGCTGTCTAACCCCGGAGCCAGCGGATCCCTCTTCTATGTCTCCAGTGATGACGAGTTCATCATCAAGACTGTTCAACACAAAGAGGCAGAGTTCCTACAGAAACTCCTGCCTGGATACTTCATGGTGAGCCTGACAAATACATACAACAGGAAGTGGGAGGCTGTTCCATATAAGAGATTTCAGTAACTGTGAGAGTATGAGGCTTAAATGAGAGCAAGCGCTAATGATGTCTCTCTAAAATAAAGTGTGCCATATATCTCTTTTTCATTACCCTCTTTCCTTACAGAACATTAACCAAAACAAGCGCACCTTGCTACCCAAGTTCTACGGGCTGTATTGCGTTCAGGCAGGAGGAAAAAACATCCGTATTGTTGTGATGAACAATCTTCTTCCTCGGATCATCCCCATGCACCTTAAATACGACCTGAAGGGCTCCACCTATAAGAGGCGAGCGTCCCCTAAAGAGAGGGAGAAGGCCGTTCCCATTCACAAAGACCTGGACTTCATCCAGGACTTGCCGGACGGGCTGCTGCTGGAAGCCGACAATTTCAATGCCATGTGCAAGACTATACAGAGGGACTGCCTGGTGAGTCACAGACTGGTTTTTAATTGGTCCATTCATTTTTACTCAAGCTTTTCAGCCTACATGGGAGTACAGGACACATCTGTTACATTACATATAAGTTTATTAAAGTACCTAATCAAACTCATGATATATACGCCAGCTGAATACATTATCATCTTGCCCTTACATAAACCATACTGCATTTTCTTCAAAATACATGCATTTAATATGACTTAAAAATCCAAGTTTGAATGATCTTTTCAAAAATATTGAGATTTAAAACCAAAGTTAAAGGGGACCTATCATGCAAAATGCACTTGTTGATGTCTTTTATGCATAAATATGTGTCTCCAGTGTGTCGGGGAACTCACGCAGCGTCAGAAAATAAAACCCTCTGTTTCCTT